ATGTCTAAAAAAATTTCTCAACACATTTATTCTTCGAGTCAACGCCTTTAAATCTTTTCTCACCATAGTTATTCTTTAACTCAATGCCCCTAAGATCTAGTTTTATTTTTCCAGCTCAATGCCTTTAAATTTTTTCCTCACCATATTTATTTTTCAACTCAACACTCTTTAATTTTTTTCTCAACACAATTATTCTTTAACTCAACGCCCCCTTAGATCTAGTTTTACAGTTAATCTTTAACTCAACGCTCCTTAGATCTAGTTTTATTTTTCCAGCATAGTTATTCTTTAACTCAACGCCCCTTAGATCTAGTTTTATTTTTCCAGCTCAATGTCTTTAAATCTTTTTCTCAACACATATATTCTTCAACTCAACATCTTTAATTTTTTTCTTTAACACATTTATTCTTCAACTCAAAGCCTTTAAATCTTTTTTAATTACCACAATTATTCTTCAACTCAATGCTCTTAAATCTTTTTTCCATCCCAAGTGCCCGGATCCATCGAAGTTCGATTCTATCTGAACTACTCGTTTTCAAATGATATCAACATTGTTCACAAAAACACATTTATTTTTTACCACATTTATTTTTGAACTCAACCCTCTTAAATCTTTTTCTCAACATAAGCACCTTTAATTCGTCAACTCAGTGCCCTCAATTTTGTTGAACAACTTTATAATAGCTTGCCCAATTTTTTGTTTTCTTTTTAAATATTTCTGGAAAATAAGGTCCTTTTAATATTTTTGTTAATGAAGTGATAATTTGACCAAAATTTTCCATACATACACTTGAATTCCCTAAAATTCAATACATTGTAGAATACTAAAATATGTAAAAATTGAAAAAAAAAATTAAAAATTTAATAAAAACAATTAGAATTTTAGATATAAAGTTTACTATGGAGGTTTGAAATACTAAATTCTATTTTGGTGAAGAAAACATCTCAATATCAGCTTTTATGTAACAATTCAATTGTTTCCTTTGCCAACACAATGTTTAGATTTAGGATTTTGGACAGAAATTTGGTGAAGATTTGAATCATACACACCCTATAGCCGCCGTCTGGGACAATCTCCAGCGCCGGCAAGGAAAGGGCACCAAACATCAGCCTCAAGGAGCTTAACTATGGACTAGCAATTTTAATAAAAAGTAAGCATTAAAACACTCGCTTTCTCTTTATTTTCTCTCTCACTTCATCCCGCATCTTCTCTTCACAAACCCAAAATTCCCTTCTCTTACTGCATCCTGTTAGGAATTATGTCTCAAATTTTCATTATTATTAGTTTCTATTTTAGAGTGTATTTTTATGATAATTTCTTATAGAGACGTGAATTGGGCTCTAAGAAATTGTAATCCTTGTCCACAAAGGAATTGGATATGTGACTCTATAAATAAACACTTAAGCTATTGTCGAGAGTTATGAGTTGAGAGAGATGTAGCCTCATGAGGGAGGACGTCGATGGTAGGGGTGAGTTACGGGTTTGATAGAGTAAACACTGATGGCGAGAGGGAGTCCCGTAGAGTACACGGAGAACTCAGTCAAGAGTTTGTGTGCATGGTCCGGTGTTAAAATTCTCTACTATTGTAATATCTCTACATATATAGTGAATATCTTCTCATCCGTGGATGTAACCCTGATTTTGGGTGAACCACGTATATATCTTGTGTTGTGGTTTGAATTGTTATTTTCTTTCTTTATTTTGCTTCCGCTGTGCCCCAACAACTGGTGTCAGAGCCAAAGGTGAAGAAGATTCAGAAAACATAAGAAGTCTCAACATTTGCTACAATGGGCTTCAGTTGTAGGTGCAGTCAATAGGCTTGGTTACATGGCATGGAGCTTGAGTAGTCAAGGTGGAGCCTTGGGGTTTGAATAATTGAGCAACGTATAGTGGGGGGATAATCCGAGTTCTGCAATAAGATCGAGAAGATTGAAGTTGCAGAGAATTGTCCAGATTCAATTGCCATAAGAAGCAATGATTAACGTAATGGAATTTGAGCCAAGGTGGAGATTGTTAGGAATTATGTCTCAAATTCCCATTATTATTAGTTTCTATTTTAGAGTGTATTTTTATAGTAATTTCTTATAGAGACGTGAATTGGGCTCTAAGAAATTGTAATCCTTGTCCACAAAGGAATTAGGTATGTGACTCTATAAATAGACACTTAAGCTATTGTTGAGAGTTATGAGTTGAGAGAAATGTGGCCTCATGAGGGAGGACGTTGATGGTAGGGGTGAGTTACGGGTTTGGTAAAGTAAACACTGATGGCGAGAGGGAGTCTCGTGGAGTATACAGAGAACTCGGTCAAGAGTTTGTGTGCATGGTCCGGTGTTAAAATTCTCTACTATTGTAATATCTCTACATATATAGTGAATCTCTTCTCATCCGTGGATGTAACCCTGATTTTGGGTGAACCACGTATATATCTTGTGTTGTAGTCTGAATTGTTATTTTCTTTCTTTATTTTGCTTCCGCGATGCCCCAACACATCCTCCCTGCTCTCTTCACAAACCTAAATTCAAATCCCTCACCGCATGCAAAACTTAAACTTGCTGTCCATGGCATCGATCGGTCGGAGACGTGGGTCATACTTGAGAAGAGAGAGGTTGATGAAGATAGATTATATGCATATGGTGGGGAGAGATTAATCGGCGAGGATTAGAAAAAAATCGGCAGAGAGAGATGTTTTAATAATTTTGTACAAAACGCTGCCGTTTCAGACTACAGCACGGGTACTGCTAGGGATGGCAATAAGGCAAGGCGGGGATCTCATTCCCCATCCCCGCTGAATTTTTCAATCCCCATCCCTGCTTAAAATTTCACCACCACCCCCATACCCGCCCTCGCCCCCACCCCCTTATCCTCGTCCCGGGCCCTGGCCCTGATTAACATATATCTATTTTTTTTAAAAAACATAATTTTTCTTATTTTCATATATATACTAAATCTAATTTAGTAATAAATTATTATATATAAGGGTATATTAGTAATTTCACACTTAATCGGGGCGGGGCGGGGCGGGGCTGGTTTATCCCATTCCCATCCCCGCCCCCCGCCCCTGGTCCCGGTGGGTTTTCAAAATTTACCTTTATCTCCATCCCCGTTTACATAAAAGGATCTTCATCCCCACTATAAATTGGGAGGGCGGGGGGGAACCCGACGGGGATGGGAAATTTGCCATCCCTAGTACTGCATAACCCGCTTTCCAAAGTTCCTAGTAAGATTATTCTTGTTTCTCTCACTAGAAGTATCACCAGTCATTTCAGTCCATCTTTACTTAATTACCAAGCTGTCAATGGCATTGAAAGACATCGAAAGATTGATAAGGTTGGATCCTAAATTGTACGGTAGTAGAATATTTTTTTTTTTTTTTTTTTTTTTTTGAACCCTGGCAAGAAAATAAGTCAAATGCTATACGACATTTACATATAAGAACATCGGCCAAAGATAAAGAACCAATTACACAGATAACAGGAACAGTCACATAACCAACCAAACCGAACTAACTAACTAACACCCCTAATAGTCAAGATCAGAGTCTTGACAATTCAAGAAAATGTGTCAGTTACATTGGGAAGACCAACACCACAAAAGGAAGAGGAGCCGCCATACACCGAAGTCCAACGTACTCAAAAGCCGGGCCCACCAGAAGCTACAAGAAACTACTAGACTACTTTTCCTAGACGTCAGCCACTACGTCATAGTTTCCCAATCGAAAAGCCAAAAATGGACCTCCGAGGCTGACCCCACACCATCAACAATGGCAAACGCCGACAAGAAACGCATATTCATCAGAAACAAACCCCACAGATCAACCGCCCATCGCAAAGTGCTTCATAACAATAAACTCCAGGCAGAAAGATCCCGTGTCGGTGACCTGAGAGAGCCGTCATTGATATCCACAAGAATAGAACAAGAAATCGTAGCCATAACCCCAAAAGGCGTGGAGACAACCGTAACGCAAAGGATCACCGAAGCCAAGCACCGACATCTAAAAACTAAAAAACACAGAGAAAACATGAGATATAAACAAGAAACAAAGGAAATTAGAGTAATGCCCGGATCATAAGGGAAGAGCGGCACAAAATGGGTATCAAAACCACCAAGACACAACGACCCCAAAGGAACAATCCTCCACGCACCGGATCGCCGCATTCCAGATAACCTACCAGACCTACAAACAAAAGAAGATATGGAATCCAACACAGAAAAATCACACCGGCTTAGAGACACCCCTAAACTCTGATAAACAGAGAACCCCGATGTAGCGAGGAGCATGTTGAAACGCGGTTCAACAGCTCTCACAATACCTCCCTCACCCTCCGAAAACATGAAAACCTTAGATCGTTAAAGCTTAATGAGGGAGAGCCGCCGTCGAAATCGCACGCGCTGAGAGGAAAAAGAAAAGGCGGCTCTCGAAAACCCTAACAGGAAAGGGAAAGGGTCGAGAGAGGAAAGGAGAGAAGCGGGTCTATAGTTGAATGTACAGTAGTCGATTAATAGATTTTATCCAAAAAGCCAAAATATCATACATAATAAACCACTTTTTACCATCCCAACCACAACACCTCTCACCCCCTCTCTCTCTCTCTCTCTCTCTCTCTCTCTCTCTCTACCAAGGACGGATCTCAAGCGCTTGGCTACCCATCAAGCGTTTGGCCAAGGTTCGAATCCTAGCGCCTCTCTGCGAGCAGTTCTCGATTGACCGCTGCATGTGTTGTGGGGCCGGTGCGCGTGGCCGGTGGACTAGTCGGGCCCAGCCTTGGACACCACTGTTTAAAAAAAAAAAAAAAATCTTTCCTAATTTCATGACATCCAAATAAATCTTGATACTTTCTTCTTCAAGGACTCAACTGGTATAGCATTTGATACTAAATCTCCATTGTTTCTATTTTCTACAGTGGACCAAGAAAAAGTTACTATTGTTTTGAAAACGCAAGGTATTTACAATATTCCATATCACCCAATCATCAACCCTCAAATCCAACCAACCAGTCACCACACGAACCACAACCACAACCACATCTTTGGAACAAAAACAACAATGGGAGCTTCTCAATCCTCTCCCCAATCCCACCCATCTCTCCTTCAACGAGAGAATCAAGAAGAACCCACAACCACCAAAAACACCACCAACAAGCTTGCTCTACTCCCACTAGTCTTCCTCATCTACTTCGAGGTGGCCGGTGGCCCCTACGGCGCAGAGGCCGCCGTGGGAGCCGCCGGCCCCCTCCTCGCCCTCCTCGGCTTCCTCATCTTCCCCTTCATGTGGAGCATCCCGGAAGGCCTTGTCACGGCGGAGCTGGCCACCACCTTCCCCGGCAACGGCGGCTTCGTCATCTGGGCCCACAAGGCCTTTGGTCCCTTCTGGGGCTCCCTCATGGGCTCTTGGAAACTCCTCAGTGGTGTCATCAATTTGGCCTCATACCCAGTTCTCTGCGTTGATTATCTCAAATTGGTATTCCCAATTTTCTCTTCAGGTGTACCTCGTTATCTCGCAATTCTGTTTTCCACATTGTTTCTCTCATTTCTGAATTATACAGGTTTGACTATAGTTGGCTATACTGCGGTGGGTTTAGGCATTGTTTCACTTTGTCCTTTTATTGTTATGACATTGATTTCAATCACCAAAATTGATCCCAGTAGGTGGATCAGTTTGGGTCAGAATGGTGTAAAAAAAGATTGGACATTGTTTTCCAATACCCTTTTTTGGAATCTCAATTCCTGGGACAATGCTAGTACTTTAGCTGGTGAAGTTGATCAACCCCAAAAGACATTCCCTAAGGCACTATTCTCTGCTGGGATTTTGACATGTTTGGCTTACTTGATCCCTCTTTTGGCTGCCACTGGGGCTATTCCTCTAAATCAAGAGAATTGGGTTGATGGGTATTTTGCAGATGTGGCAGAAATTATCGCGGGAAAATGGTTGAAATATTGGGTTGAGATTGGTGCACTTCTAGCCGGGATTGGACTTTTTGAAGCTCAATTGAGCAGTTGTGCTTATCAGATTCTTGGTATGGCGGATTTAGGCGTTGTGCCTCGGTCTTTTGGGGCAAGGTCCACATGGTTCAACACACCTTGGGTTGGGATTTTGATGCCAACATTGGTTGTATTGGCAGTTTCATACATGAACTTCGCGGACATTATATCTTCGGTGAATTTCTTGTATAGTTTGGGAATGTTGCTGGAATTTGCGTCGTTCCTTTGGTTGAGGAGGAAGATGGCAAGGGCAAAGAGGCCTTACAAAGTTCCCCTGCCGATGCCGGGCTTGGTGATCATGTGCTTGGTTCCATCTGCGTTTTTGGTGTATGTTATGAGTGTTGCTACTAAGAATGTGTACTTGGTGAGTGCTTTGTTGACTGTGGTTGGGATTGGTTGGTACTTCTTGATGAGGTTTTGCAAATCAAAGATGTGGCTTGGGTTTCACAATGGTAGTGAGAAAAACGAGGATGAGGATATAAATTAGTTTTATTTATTTATTTATTTATTTATATATATATATATATCTTCTTTTGAGTCCTTATGAAGTCGTTATGTAAAATATGATCCTCTGTCCCGATCCTTAGGACCTTTGTGTTTGTGATTTTGAAACGGTTATATATAGCATTTACATAACCATGTTATTGACCAAGTCTAGTTAATTGACCTGGAATATTGCACGATATGATTGGGAATTTAAAAAAAAAAAAAAATGGAAATTAATAGATTATAAGTAGTTAATTGACCTGCTGAAATTGGTGTATACCTTCAACATCACGCCAATTCCACTTCTGAAAACACAATGAAGTGGAAGCACGGTACCCTTATTTTAAAATTTTCTGGAATGTTTTCAGAGCCCGTGGTGTGCCTAGTCCACTTCTGAAAACACGATTAAGTGGAAGCATGGTACCCCTTATTTTAAAATTTTCTGGAGCCCGTGGTGTGTCTAGTCCATGGTTTTCTCTAGAATAGCAGTTCAAGCAGTTCTCATCATGCAGAATTCATTCCCCTCTTACTTCAACCTCGGAAAGAGAGTTCTTATTGGCGCAACTATATGTCACAACTGTTTTAGAGCTTCTGATACCGGAGACCATCTGTTTTGGTGCTCCCCTCACTTCTCTGCTGCCCTGGCTTGGTTTATCGATCACACTCGTGGGCAGACTATGAAAATCAAGCTTCTTAGGTGCTGATTCACTGCCATTCTCCAGATAATATGGGCTGAAATAAACAATAGATGTCATGATGGGGATGCATTGCCTCCACATCAGATTGCTATGGACTCTTGCTTTGAAGGATTATGTGCCCTAGGACTGACCATCTCTGATATTGAGGCCTTATTTTGATTCTAGTTCTTGATGTCAAGTTGCTTTTCTTGCTGTAGTTTGGGGTATGCCCTGACCTACTCTCTTTAAGTTTTCCTCCTGGTGATCCTTTTGTTTTTGATCACTTCCCTATGTACCATATTGTTCATATTTTATAAAAAAAATTCCACATTCAGGAAAAAATAATTTTGACCTGCAAACGTATTCTGTATATATATATATATATATATATATATATGTATGTATATATATTTATTTGTTCTTGGTTGTATGTGCATTTTACTATAACAAAGCTAACTTAAAAATCTGTTACCAGAAAATGATGTAGTTTGTCAAAATACCTGCCTTCATTGAAAATGTGAGCGTCTTTTTTGCATGTAAACTCCGAAAGTTTGTGAACAACACACAAGTTTTTATAGAACCTTGTACATATATTTGGAATGAATTGAGTTTTACGGATCTTGACCAAGCCGAAGCTCCAAATCTAATCAATCTTCTTGAATCGCACCTCGATTCCTCTTTTCATCATGATCTTCTGGGTGCCAGGAATCAAATTGCAAACCCAAACCCGTCTGCCAATTCAACTAATCTCCTAACGAATTCAAGCTGTGTGTGTTTTGATCATTATTGGCATGGTGTGTCTATGAAAAAGGGTTCGTACCTGATACAGATGATGATGGAAAACATGTCTGATAACTGATTTGTTGCGCATTGTTGTTTGGTGCAGAATAATAATAATGCAGTGGATAGGTTGAAATTGGGTGGTAGAAATTTGGATTCGCGTAATAATTCTCCTCTTCAATTTTAGTTGAATTGAAGATGCAGGAAGATGTCACTTAACCTCTACGTGCTTGTATGATTGTCTTCCATTTGATATTATACTTGTTTTGCTGATCCTTGGCACATAGGGGTATGTTCCCTTTCTCTTGTACTTCTGTTTATATTCATACTTCCTTGTTTTTTTAACCAAATCGAGAAAGGATAAATTTATAAAATAGATAATTCACCGATTTTAATCCAGGATGCTTCATGACAAACTAATACAGTTTTGTTATGTTTAGGAGTATCGAATTGGTGCATTGGATTTGGGATTAGAAAAAATTTCATTCAAAATTTGTACTAAATTTTTTTTCCAATCACAAATCCAATGCACCGATTCAATGCAGTGTCAAAAATAAAAAATAAAAAAATTGAATACACACTCCTCACCGCATAGCCAGTTGACTCAATTGATGTCCTCTTTGATTGCTGCCACTAAATTTGCAATTTTTTGTGAAGAAATAAGCACCTTACACTCATCTTCAATAGTCAGTTGCTTGTATATCCCCATTGAGGAGCCCATTTAAATGCTTGATGTTGTTGTGAAAGGGAAGAAATATAGTGCAGCTTTGATAATCTGTCCTCCTGCAGCCCCTGCACTGGGCTTAAGACCCCAAAACTTGCATCAAAATTCAATTCAAACTACTAGCAGTGTTGTTTCCCTGCACTAGTGTAGGCCTTCAAAAAAAACAGCATATTCCTCCCTTTCCAAAGATTCCAACACATAAACAATTAAGCTCAAAAAAAAAATCTTTTTTGTCTGCTGAGTTTGGCATATTAGCACCACACATGAATAAAATGTAACACTTAATAAACAATTAAGCTCAAAAAAAATTTCCAACACATAAACAATTAAGCTCAAAAAAATTAAAACAGCATATTAAGCTCAAAAAAAAAAAAAAAAAAAAAAAAATTTTGTCTGCTGAATTTGGCATATTAGCACCAAATGAATAAAATGTAACACTTAATTTTTTGCTCTGATGTTTCAATTTAGTCCAGAACTCCCTCTGCGGAGGGAAAAAACGCCCTCCAATAAAAAGCGCACACGTCACCACTACCCATATCAACATTCCAAGGACATATAAGACCCATCATGCTCAAGCCCAAGTTGAGGGTATTTATAACCCAAGACCATTGTTATTTGTCCTCCAATTTCCATCAAGGCCGAATCAAGAAGTCATCAGCCCAGCTTATGACTATTTAACATCCGGCCTGTTACTCAAGCCCAGCTGGATCAAAATATATTCGGCCCAAGAATGCACAAGTCCTACCATATGAAGGATTTACTGTAGAAGGAAAATTCTATAAGAAGTTCTGTACAAGGCAAGTTCTATGTATGGAAAATTCGACAATGGAAAAAACCCTATTAGAAAAGAATGGTTATATAGAAAGAATTGGAGGGCAAGCAACACGAGTCCTACCATAATCTTGCAATCTTTTGTATATAAATAGAGGCTAAGACCTCCAATAAAGGATCAAGCAATTCTACGCTTCTCTACACACTGTTCTTATTTATCTTTATTATTTTTGAGTGAGTTGTTTTATTTTTCTCAATCATTATTGGTTGGGCGAAATTTTGCACCTACACTTTGGCGCCGTCTGTGGGAAACGTATAGAAATATACTCCCACTTGTTCTTCAAATTAAATCCTTTAGTCATGTTTGGAATGTCAAACGGAGAGTCAGTAATGAATCAACAGATAGAATTGATGCAAAAGATGCGAGAAGAGTTCTTGCACCAATTTGAGACACTCCGGCAAGCAAACGATACGAGTGTCGCCCAGATAGCTGCGCTTCAGCAACAGACTCATACGCTGCACACGGCCATGGCCAGGCTAATGCCACAACCACCACCAGGCGATGCTGCGGCACCACCCCCCACACGGAATTTACCTCCGGTTCACGAGCCTCCAGCCAACGAGACACCACCCAACGGGGCTCGACCTAGTGAGGTTCAGCAAAAGCAAAGGACGAGGTCCGAGGCGGTTGCTTCGGATAATCTCCCGCATCACACACAGGACGAACAGGCCGAGTCCAGCCATAGGCTTACGGTATGGTCCAATGGCGTTCCAGATGGCGCACGTGTGCAAGATGCCTTCGACGAAAAGAAGCTCTTGAGAGTCCAGACACCAGCCGAGATGGCTAGAGAGCACAAGAACTCCTTGCTCAAGACCCCCTTTACTGACGAGGTGTACCTTGTGGAGAGACCGAAGAAGTTCACTATGCCATCCTTCACCCAGTTCGATGGGGCAGGAGACCCCTCTCGGCATCTCGATCATTATGCACAAAAGATGGCACTGGACGATCATAACGATCCGTGGATGTGTAAGGTTTTTCCTACCAGTTTAACCGGAGCAGCGTTAGAATGGTTCAGGAATAGGCCACACAAGTCTATCCCTGACTATGAAACCTTGTGCACTATGTTCTTGGCCCAGTATTGCGGAAATAAGAAGCAGAAGAAAAGTATCGCCAGCCTTTTTACCATAAGGCAAAGGAAGGGAGAAACTTTGCAAGATTTTTTATCCAGGTTTAACATGGAGGCCTCGGAGATAGCAGATTGCCATCCTGCCACGGCAATCGAAACATTTAAGTTGGCAATGATCCAGGGAACCAAGTTTCACACATCCTTGGTCAAATATTCCCCCCCGGATATGCAGACTTTGAACGCTAGGGCATAAATCTACATTCGGTTGGAGGAAAACGTAGCTCACCGTGCACAGCACGCTACCCTCGTCACAGTGGAAAACAAGTCTCGAGAGAAAGCTGCGAGCACAAGGATGCAGAAGGTTCCTCATACCGCCACACAAGTCACCCAAGCGTCTGAGAAAAGGCGAAGGACAGAGGACAGGCTTACCCCTCTCCGTACTACCTTGGCGCGCCTATTCCAAGAGAATAAGACGAGGTTCGCGACTCCTCAGCCCATGAAACAACCCTTGGAGCAGAGGGACAAAAGCAAACATTGTGCCTACCATAGAGATTATGGGCATACCACCAATGACTGCAGGTCCCTACAGCGACAGGTAGAAAGCATGATAGCGAGAGGAGAATTGGTGGAGTATCTCGCCACGAAGGAGCACGTAAAACCTCGTGAGGTTAACCCTCGACGGGTAGAGGGCAGTCAGGTAAAGGTTATCCATGCTATACACGGAAGGTCAGAGGATGATGAAGAGTCTGAAGAGTTGTACAGATCAAGGCTGAGAGAGGCTCATAAGTTACGAAGATTGTCTTCGGTAAACACAGTTGCATCAGGCAGCATCAACATTGGATTCGGTAACAATGATCTTTCTAGAGTCCAGCGCCCACATGAGGACCCCTTGGTCATCAGCCTCCTGGTAGCGAATTACATGATCAGGAGAGTGCTGATAGATCCGGGAAGTAGCGCCAACATCATTACAAAAACAGCTTTTGATCAGTTAGGGGTTTCACCATCGTCCATCAGGCCAACTTCCGGCCCCCTAATGGGATTTGACGGTACTAAGGTGAATCCGCTTGGGGTGATCGATCTATC